ACAGTCACTTTTTGAAAATGGCCTAGTGACGGGACAGCCCACAGTTGGAGTCAGTGTGAACATTCTCGAGCAAGGTCGAGGCTATCCTGGCATTAAATACAATAGGAACGAGTGGATGGAAAATTAGCTCTTTAGAGGAAGACTGTGGTTCGATCGATAAACCCACTTTCCTATCATATCTGATTAACATAGGTAAAGTATGCCAAATGTAAACATCAAAACTGTTCATAATTTAAAAATCTTTTTTGACAAGATTCTAGAATGTTCGTTTTAGAAGCGCTTACTTCTTTAATCGGTGAAAGTTCGATTTTTTGTGCTTACGGCATCATTTACGAGGCTGATGCATAATGTAGTGATTGCGGGAGTTGGATTTCTGACGTAGCAACTACTTATCTTGAACTTTTGTTACCAGTCCGTACTCCTCATCTTTGTCCCGAATTCTCGCTAGGAAAGCGCTAGTATTGGTTACAAGTCTGCCTAGCAATTCCTGTGTAGAACCCACTTTGAAGAATATCCATGTCAAAAATCAATAATATCTACCATTGGTGCTGAAAGGTTAGTTGTCTCCATTAATCCGACCTGTTTATGAGCCTGACAGCGTTTACGAAAAATACATTTAATTAATCCGTCTGTCCATCATTCAGCCGTTTATTCCATTCGTCAACCGACTAGTCGTCCGTGCGACTGTTTTTGAGAAAACTGATCTGACTCTAAAGTTGATAACACGTGTCGACAGAGAGAAGGATACCCAAAGCTCGTAACCCCTCGTCGTATCTTATGGTTTACAGACAGAATCGTACTTCGACAGAGTAATTTGCGATAGATATAGTGAATACGTCGGCTGTTTTGCATGTCATCTGACGACCGTTAATTTTATATCGCATTATAAAGACGATTTGAATTACATCATCATGAATCTATTTGCAAATAATATCTTTCGCTAAAAAAACCTTACGATAAGATCAGCAACATTGGGAATGGAAAAGTTGATTGCAGTGTTGAGAGGTGATAACATTGACATGCAAAGACATTTCTCAAACAAGATTTAATGCAAATGTTGCGGATTGCAATCATAAAGACAAGCAATTCAAGTTAACAATGACAAAATAATGACCATAATAATGTCAAAATATATAGTCTAGTGATAATTAACTGCCTTCCATGTGAAAAGTACTTTGATTACGACAATACTGCAGCCATTTGGCTTTCGCAGATTTAACACGCATTTGACACATTCGAAATGGCCAGCGAGAATCAGCTTGCCGTGGTTGCTTCACGCCGAGGATTTGGCTGGCAAAAAGTGCGTCAAAAGTATACCTGTGCTGGCAAAAAGAGCAATCAAAAATGTATATGTACACCGTGTTACACTTGGTTGTCTTTATACATAAAAGTTGTGGAATATCTGATGAAAAAGCAAGCCACAGCTGCACCCCCTTTAATATTATGTTTACATTAGCATGCGCGGTCTTCTGGCAAAATTCAGAGGTGAGCCCTCGATTGTAATGTTCGAGCTCATCGTACACAAACGAGCTATTTCCCCGAGTCTGTTCACACTTTAAGATCGGTCTTATCTCAGAAAAGGTCTTACTCGTCATTTCTTTCAATTTCACCATCCTTTTTGGTCTCAATGTATGCGTTTTGCGCACCGTTGTGTCTTATTGGTGCTTTCCATTTCGAAAGGTGTTGACACAACCCTGGCATGAGAG